GGCCGCGGGCGCGAGGACAAGCCAACCCGGCGGCCAGAAGGGCAGGCTGCACGCGCTCCGCTTTACCCAGAAAAGTAAAATGTGAATGGGATGTCTGAGCTGACCCGAGATGAACCTGGTACCAGATGGCACACACTGGCAGAGCTGAGCAGGGACTGCTAGTAGAGGAAGATGCAAATGGGATTTGACAGTGGAAGTGGGATGAAATGGGTTTGTTCTCAGGGGGTGTCTTTTTTAGAGATGTTACTGGGTAATCTAGGAATGTCTGTGTATTTTACCTCTTGTTTTGCCTTTTTCAGCTCCAACTGAGCCTTCCATTCAGGAGATCTTTGAATCACAGAATTCAAGGATTCCCGGAGCCATTGCTGTGTGCAAAGCATCAGTTCTCCTCTCTGTCATTCATGAGTTCACTGTTTTCTGCAGTTTTCTTCCTGCTGGAGTCGGCTGAGCATGTCCTTACCCATGATTAAATCTTTCAGTTTCTTTTCCAGAACCAACTCTCATGCCTGAATCCTTTAAAAAGAAAGACGTGGTTGAAATTTTGTCCCACAAAAAGGCCTACAACACATGTAAGTAAACATCACAGTGAACGTACCCCCAAAACGGACCCAGAGATGGGTCCAGGGCAGTAGAGACCTGGAAAGGTAAAAGGAAGGAGGCTCGATGAGCGCATCCCAGCGTTGCTGTTTGTGCCTGGGCTGTTCTTGGAGCCCGGAGGACTCCATTGCCAGAGTGTTCTCTGCTGGGAGCCAGCCTTGGCCAGACAGGCTCTAAAAGGGGACCGAGAGGGGATGTGGCTCATTATCCTGGAGAGGGAGAAGGGGAAGAGCTCGCGCAGCACCGGGGGCGGTGGCTGCTGTGTGGGGCAGCCCCACAGCCCTTACGGAGTCTCCAGGATGCGCCTCCGGTAGGAACGAAGGGGTGGGAGGGCCTGGTGGGATCCTGCAGAGACCCCAACTCTCCTGGCCCCTGAGGGATGTGGGAGAGAAAGAGGAAGCAGGAATCCTGCCCCAGCTCCATCTCCGCTTCCTCCGAACCTGCCTGAACCTGCGAGGCCGGAGGGGAGCAGAGGGGTTTGGCTTTCCAGCACCTGGCCCCGAAGCCCTCCTCTCTTAGACCTATTGCTCTCCGTTGGGAACAGCCCTTCCCCTCCTACCACGGCGGCAAGTGGAGAAATCCAGCTCCCTCTGGAGCTGTGGGGCGATTCCCTTCCCGGCCCCGCTCTGCAGGCAGCTGCCCCGGCCCAGCCACCCCAGAGCCTGGTGCTCCCCTTGTCCCGGGTGACGTCCCTGCCCTCCTCTTCCAGCCATCCTGATCGCCCACCTCAAGCTGTCGCACGTGGAGCTGCGCCAGATCCTCATGACCATGGAGCCGGACCGCCTGGAGCCTTCCCACATCAAGCAGCTCTTGCTCTACGCCCCTGACGGCGAAGAGGTCCAGCAGTACCAGAACTACAAGGACAACCCCAGCAAGCTGAGCGAGCCGGACCAGTTTGTGTTGCAGGTAGGAGCACACAGCGACGAGCTGCGGCAGCGGGGAGGTCTCCATGTGCTCCCCAGAGCTGTAGAGGGAAGCAGCTGTAGAGGGAGGCTCGTGTGTGTGTTGCTTTCAGGTGCAAGGAAGGCTGCCAGGGAACGCCGTGTAGGTGGGATCTGGGGACTCAGCTAATGCTCATAGCAGTAATTTTCTCTTTTTTTGTTCTCAGATGTTATCGGTACCAGAATACAAGATCCGTCTGCGCAGTCTACATTTCAAGAGCACTCTGCAGGAGAAGACAGAGGAGATCAAAGCCAGCTACGAGTGCATCTGCAAGGCCTCTCTGGAGCTGAAAAGCAGCAAGAAGCTGGCGAAAATCCTGGAGGTCAGAACAGTCCCTGTTCCTGGCGCCAGCCGCTGGGGGCCTCCCGTGTCCACCAGGGAGCCGGGCAGTTTGCTGGAG